AGTTTGCATTAAAATTTTCAGCATCTTGAGGCTTCCTTGTACAACAATTCACACAAGAATGCTATTTACATACTTGCTATCAATTTTATACACCACAGATAAAACGAAAAGGCCCCGGAAGTTTTAATCATTAGATATTCAAAACGCCAGCAAGGCTCGCTCAACCAAAGCAAGTGTGCATTGTTTGGAGAGAACAAGCCTAGAAGAATTTTGGATTTACTGAGCCCTGGTAAAACCTGTAACACACAAAGTAAACCAGCTCGATGATAGGCAGTGGATATAGCGGGGATGAACTATTGTCAGGCAAGAATGAATAGTCCGTGCCCTATGTACAGTCATTAAAAACAACTACTTGCAGTGGAGGTGATTGAGTGTAATGTAACCAAAATTTGCTAAACGCGCAGAATTAACTATCTTTGGTGCCAGAACAAGCATTACCAGCATGAACTACACAATAATTGGTATATAATGGTACTGCATATAAACAATAATGTTTTCACCTAATTAGCGTACTTGTAGCACATTTGGATTTAAGTACAATATTTATGAAGTAAAACATAGCACACTTGACCTCAATAACTAGAATTAGGTACCTACGACCCGTCTTTGAGCTGCCTTCCTCAGACGTAAACATGTTTTTACTAATTAATTTTGTATTAACTAAAAAATGATTAAACTCTCTCTCTTTTTGATGCATATATGAGCAAACTCTGATCATAAAATCAAATTACTTATTTTCATTTCCATTTCTTAAAAAAGTAATCAAAATTAAAGGACAGTCGTAATTCAAAAATGGAAGGGAAAAAAACTCCCCATGCAAGCTATTCAGAAAGAATATCTTGAAGATCACTTGATTCTTTCACAGAGACGAAAACAGTAAACTCACATCCTAAGTTGCAAGGATACAGGAATGAGTGCAGATGTAGGTACAGAACATGGAAAATTTGTAAAAGGTAGGGCATGGAGACACGGCTAAAATACATGAGTTGAAATCATAGCTGTAACCTTGATACGCAAATGACCCTTTAAAATTGTAGTTCTTAACTGAATATACGTTGAAATGAACCTGATCTTTGTCCAACAAGCATCAAAATGAGATGTGAAGTGTAATATATATATGTGCAAGAAGTGTATGACAAGCGTTTTAAATTAAAAAATGTATCATATAATCAACTACACGTTTGACTAAATGTATGCATATATTAAGGAGCATCCAAGAAGTGTCGAGTACGGGTACGGATATGTGATGTCTCTGATACGGGTACGGCTTCATGATAGAAGTACACATGCAAAATAGCTTAGATCAAAAAGGAAATTGAACTCATAGACATTACATAATAATCATATAGATGCTCCCATTCTTGCATGCTCCATTGGAACCATTATTTTTATGTTTCCAAGGAAAATGAGAGTGTAACTTGTGTGTACGTATATCAGCAACTTGGTCAATGTGTTCAACTATAATAATGTCTAGAATCTGAGAACATGGCAAGCATTCAGGAATGACTCAATACGATTGAATCCTACTAGCGACTTTATACCACTGGAACCTGCCAGAACCTCTGTGTAACCTTCAGCTCGCGTCCTGTGTTTTCCCATCTCTCAAAAAATATATGAGTGAAAGAGACAATTGACACATGAAGGAGAGAGGTAAAGCAGCAATGTGGTATTGGTGGAGCACCAACGTTTTGGTAACCTAAATTCAAGTGTCTATATGTCATATAAATATTGTTTCAAAAAATAAACGAAGCCGCACACACAGTACCATCTTTACCTGACGATCAAGTCCAGGTCAATTCTGTAACTTTACAAGGACCAAATTTTCGAAACCAACACAAAATTATATAAACAGGGTTAGTATATCACTGTTTAGCACCCTTTTCACAGATAGAAACTGAACATGAGGAAATTAGGTATATAGCTAAGTGAAAATGTACACATAGTAATACCTTGGTCAGTGTGCTCTGTGGTAGCATGTTTAACTTCCTCATCAAAGAAAGATGGGCTTTCCTCCTTCCTGGAAAGCAGTTTGTTTAATCAACAGATAATCATTGCTATCTGAAGACAAGTAGAAGGACCAATATCTACAAAGACCCAAAATGTAGGCTTGTGAAATACCTTTCAGTTTGAGTGTTCGGTTGACTGCATGAGTTCGAGCATAAATTAGGCATACAAGCTCCAGATGGTTCTGTGACTTCGTTTTCTTGTTTTACAACACCTCCCTAGGAAATTATAAGAGATTTCATGTCTCCGTTACATATTGACTAGCCAAGGATTATTTGCAGTATATTGTCTTCTACGTCAGGACTTACCTTGGGGTTTTCCCCCATCCATCCAGGAATTTTCTCAGAAAGAAGACTCATGTATTGTTCCATAGCCGCATCTGGATTCATGTTTCCCAATGTTTGCCAAGCATGCCTTAAACAACACAATCATTGTCTCCATCATTAACAAATTGCGTATCTTGCCTGTTATTATAACTAACAATCAAATTACTACAAGAAGCTAATAACCATGTCACCCGAGGAATTCCTTCTACGGGCTACATGAGCCAAAGGAACTCTGTATAGTCAAGTGGAAGGCTAAAACTAAATGCAACTGGCCTTTTATATTTAAATAATGGGATGAAGATTGCTTCATTAAGAACAAGACATCAGGGTACAGTTGTGCTTCGTCGTTTATTTCATAAATGAAGCATAGTAGCTTTCCTTCTGACAGACTTATGGTGCTGGGATCTATAATGACTTAAAAAATAAAAGCCTATGCGCAACAAGAAAATAAGCAGTAAAAAAGATACAATATGTGTTTATTTAATTTAATCTTTCACTACATATTTGCAAGACAAGATAGCAATATACTACAGAGGAAAAAAATCATTTTGATGCTTTTTATACTTCTAAACATGTAATTGTCAAATTGACGATTTTATTGTTTTTCATCGGCTTATCCTCACTTCATTTTTATTTTAAGTTCCGAAATGCAGTATACATCATTGTATCGATTATTCTTTTCTTCATGGATTATTTTCAATAGTTTTGAATGCAGTAGACACTTTTAAGTTTTGAAATGCAGGATACATCAGCTTCCCTTATTATTTTATTTATGGTTTCTATATCTTCTAAATTTCGATATTTCAAAAGTTTCGGATGCAGAACACACCTTTCAATTTGCTAAATTGCATAGCAAATAAATTCTAGGTAGTAAAAAAAAGTTATCTGGATAAGCTACAAAATAAAAGAACATTCTCTACAATCATTCAAAAAAAAACTTGAATAACAAAATAACTAATTTAGAAAGAGATAGCATACCATTTAGCCCTAGCAGCAACCTTCAAAGGCATTGGCTGAGGATCATAGCAAGGACCCTCAGTCACGATCTTGTGAAGCCCATATAATTTCATTTGCTCATCATCATTGAGGCTGGACAAAGCAAATTCACCACCTTTGCCATCAACATAAGCTGCAGCCACAGTAAAATGTTTATCCAGTTCAGTCCGTTCGATTCCCTCCCATTCATCTTCTTCACTAAGCAGCGATTTCTCCTTCACATCATAGAGAGTTTCAGACCCTTCTTTCGGTACATATTCTTCTCTCAATCCAGTAACACCGTCCCCTTCATTTTCTTTAACAAATGTGACGGAGTCTTCGGCTTCCAATTCGGCCCCGATCCTATTTAGATCTGCTTAAAGCATCTCCCGAGTAGAATCATCGTCAATTTCTTCTTTTTTGACCTCAACCACATTACCTGCACCTTCAATTGCTTTACCCAAGAACGCACCGGCTCTTTCGACATCATCTCCAACATTTTCTTCGATAGTAATCGAACCAGCTTCTTCCGCTTTTGCCTCAGTCTCGATCCCATGTGCATCAACTTCTTTCTCCAGAGCGAGTTGAAGCTCTTCAGCCTCGACAGGCTCACTTCCTTTACTCTCACGCATATCTCCAACAGAAGCATCTCCAATTTCTCGCTTCATCGCTTCAACAACAGTCTCTCCACTTCCAGTTCCTGCTGCCTCATTCTCAGTTTCAGGCTCAGACATAGTTGATCTTGCTGCTTCAAGACCCCTTGAAATCATTATATACTCTTCTCGAACCCTAACTTCAGCTATCTCGTCTTGATCAACAAGATCGCCATCAAACTTCTCGATTCCAATCCCTTCTTCGCATTTCTTATCATGATCTGACCTAGCTTCTGCTGATGAAATAGGATCGGATCGGAGAGAATCGTTACCTCGTTTCTCGTCGGCGATCTCAGTCGACGGTCCGAGGAGAGAGACGAGGAGGACAGAGAGGATCGCAGTGAAGAGGAGCTCCTGATAGAACTCCATGGCGATGAGAGAGAGAGAGAGAGAAGAAAAAGAACAGAGGAAAGTTGAGGTTTTTAATGATGGCGGTGGTGGGATCTTTGAAAGGCATATTCACCGCGCTGACGGGTCTCGGTCTTCGCGGGTCGGGTTAGCTGCTTTGAATCCGACCGTAACTCGGTTAAAAAGCGAAAAAAGGGGTTGTTTCAATGTTATAGTATTTTGAAATTGAGAATAAATATACAAAATCATTTACCACGGGGGTCGACTAGTCATCCTTTAATTTACTGCATAAATCTCTTCTTAGAACGTCCTGGCCCGATCTTCGGGCACATAAATCTCTTCAGTAAAAAAAATTTAGAATAAAGACTTTGTTGTTGTTGTTCGATCTTATTCTTCCAATGATCATGTAGTAAATAATTAGCACGCTTTATGTTCATCACAATCCATACTTTGAATAGAGGATACATGAACATGCGTACTAGTCAAAAATAGTATATATATAGAACGTCAAATTCTAATCGTGCAAGTTTTGTCTTGTTTTGTTTGCTTCCTTCATTCTATTTAGTATTTGTTCGGTGAAGAGAACGACTTGAAAAAATGAACATAAGTGATTACTCCAAAGTACGTAGACCTTATCGCAAAAGATAAATCAGAAAAGGATTTTATTTATTCGATAATATGCTTTCAAAATTTTATGAGGCTTGGCCCGTTGGCAAAAATTGCACCGGAGAATTTGTTCTCGCTTGTGGGCTTGTGTAAGCCGATTGAACGCTTTCGGTGAATTATGCTGAAACTTTTCCACCAAATTTCCTTAGATTTCACTGGATTATTACTTGATTTTACTTTTGGTTGTTAAAATAATTCACGTGTGAGTATAATTATAACCTCACATCGGATTAGGATAAAAAAGTATGATGAGTTTAAATAGAAGTTGAGGCTAACATTTAAATTTATTTATTTATTTATTATTTTAGTTTTATTTTTTTTATAACAATTGATTCATTGTCTCAATTTAAAGCTCGTTAACTTTAGTTATTTAAACATAAATGTAATCTTGAACTGAAAACAAATAACGTGTCCCCTTCTTAACCTTTCAAAAAAAAAAGGAAGGTAAAAAATATATGCATAATGTGGGACTCCAAATGAGTTGTCCTGTTTTTTCCCAGAATAAGATTTTAGCAAAAATCAGAAAGGTTTTTTTTTTCTTAATTTTTCTTCTTGAATAGTGTTTTTTGGTATACTTTCATTTTCTATTACTTCATGGTGCCTTGATGCTCCGAATGTACATAGAAAGGAAAATGAGAGAAGCACGTCCTGAAAAATGAATATTAAAAGAGAGCATTTGTCATGAGTTTTTTTCCCCCTCCCAAATATTATCAGGTTACTTGTGAATAGACCCCAAAATATTACCAGATTACTCCAGAGTGATTTTTTTAAAAACTACTGGAAGAGTCGAAGAAGTTCATCGAAGAGCTGTACTAGTACAAATAGAGCTACAGGAGGTCTATCGGGGCTTAAAATGTGTTATAGAACACGATGACTACTCGCGATTAACCCAATATTATTCAGCGAGAAACAAGTCACATAAATCAACTTATAATCATCCATGCTCCATGAAATTGGCAAGATAAATCAGATAATTCACCGTACGGTACTTAGAGCAATTACACGAAGCTTGTTGTCCCAATCTTCAAACAACACCATCACGCAATCTTCTCAAAAGAAAAGCACCTATTAATTATTATACTACCATCACAAACTACATAAATTACAGCTGAAGCAACCCCAAGATTCTCAACCTCTCCTTGACCCGAAACAATTTTAATTTCAAGAGCCTTAGCATGTCGAATTCCCTCAAGCAATGACAATATCCCCCGCAGACCAAAAAAGAGGGGGTCGGGGTATCAAAAGGTAATGATTTGTTAGAGCATTGAAAACTTTGCTTGAGAATGTATCCATCCATGCGCCTAAAGAGTTGCTAAATATAAACTAAAACTTTTAGGATAACCAAAAAACCAGTATGATAGATGTGCCAGTAAATGGTGCTTGGTGAATTATATGATTTAAGTTACCAATTCTTGCTGGGGCACAGAATATTGCAGTTGGTTATGAAGCTACATATGTGGAATTTTTTTTTTCCTTCTTCAAACGTTGGTTCTATAACGAAATTATTAGTTGCAATGGACCCCCCTGTAGTTCTATTGTTGCAAATAGACCCCCTGAGTGAAAAATTTGGGGGGGGGGGGTGGGGGGGTTGAAAAAAAAAATTGCTCCTGGGGTCTAATCTGCAACAATAGAAGGAAGTCTACCTGCAGGTCGCACTTGGGTGATGGTATAGGCGGCCTGTCTACACTTAACACTTTAGGGCGCGTTTGGTTGCCTCTTTTAGAGGGGGAAATGGGTTGAAAGCCTGCCAAAAGTGTCAGTTTTGACAGGCTTTTTTTTGCAAAAACGACTCTAAAAGAGGCGTTTTTGCAAGAAAGCATGCCAAAATTGACACTTTTGGCAGGCTTTCCCCTTCCTCCTTATGCAAACAAACAGCCCCTTAGTCTTTGGAGATAACATGGAAAGCTTGTTTTCATATTGCAGCCACTCTGTGGAAATTAACAAGTCTCCCTTGCCAATCTCCTCATCGAAAACTTGTTACCTTTTCTTTCAAGAGATGATGATAGAGTGTCGAAAAACAATGTGGGGTTCGAGTCCTAAATTGCGATTATGACCTATGTTGTGGGTAATTATTCGGGAGGAAAGAAACACTAACATCAGCAATGATGATACACTATGAACAACCTATGGTCTTTACTGATGACGAGAGAAATATCCACACTTGGGCTATAGTACGAGAGAGGTCTATCCGCAATTAACCCTTAAATACAATTATTCCCTACCTGGGACATATAGTTGTCTTTTTTCCTTCCTTATTTTTTTAAAATGATGGAAACATGCAGTTGTTGTATTTGAACTACTAAAACCAACCCAGTAGTCATGGTTTTCTGCAACAATAGTCTTATGAAGTATAGCTTCATAACGTTGGCAGAAGTGAGAATCTAAATGCAGCGTTTTCACGATAAAAAAAACTATTGAATAACCCCTATTATAACCTAGCAATTACACTGGCATTAAGCACATAAAATGACTTAACCTGTTAGTCCAAGCTGTTGGGAAGCACGTGAGGACCACCACGTGCATGATGCGGAGCAGCAAATCACCCGTGAAAGGCTAAGACTATGGGGCCCACATCCGATAAAACAATCATTTATAATAGACCTCCATATATTTATGTTTTCCCTAGGGTTGAGTTGCGAGGAGGGAGGATTTGTGGAAGCAGCCGCAATTGGGACAGCAAAGGTGGAGGTGTGCGAAGGAAGTTGAAGCGCCGAGGTTGGATTAATTTCGG